GAAGAGCCATGGCAAGGACTTGTTTCATTCCCAAAATAGGCCTTCATTATGATTTGTGTGATGATTTGCAGTTTGAGCACAACATCTGAGCTATGTGTCAGAACACTATGCGGCACAATCCTGGAAATGCATCCGTTGGATAACACCAAATGTTTCTGTGGCATTAAACGCAACACTTAAAGACCCATTATAAATAAGTGCCTGTTCTGTAAGTATTTGTCCAGACCAATTTAGTGTTCAAGGAAAGGAAGGATGTTTTTGTAACCACTCCTCCCATACAAGACATTTTGCACACTTAGAACAAATCAACACAATAATTGACTGAAAGGCATTAAATAAGACTAGAAGAAAAGCAAATGCATTAGTGAGAGATTCTACAAAGTGAAAGAATAATATAATGAAGCACTATAGCACAGCATTTTTAAAATAAAAACGGACAAGAAAAAGAATACTAAACACATCTTATCTTGCTTGAAATTAAATTAAGCAGTGCTGACCTCCATGCAACTAAAGAGAATCAGGGATGCATTTTGGTCCTGAAAAAATAAACTTTACAGCTTTTGAAGTTAAGAAGAAAATGGAAAAAATATTGACAGCCACTCCTGCCTCGACCCCTGAATTCTCTTTTGATGATCTAACATGTGCATACTGATTGATAGACTACATGTTCATAAAATAGGTTAGATTGAAGTCCCGACTTTAGTTGTCATTCAGCTTATTGAGAGCTTTGAACAAAGTGCTTTTTTCGAAGATGTATTTACTATAATGTGCCCACACACAAGCAAGCCACATAATCCACAAAAAAACATAACCATTACATTTAAATGGTAGAAAGGTTTGTTGGTGCTACAGTATGGAACAGCCATGGAAAGCAAAACAAGACAGAAAACAGCATCAGGAGAGAGTTTTCTGATGGTGTGATCCAAATATCCCCCCCCCCTCAAACTTTACACCCCTGGCTCATTTTGGCGTTACTGCGCATGTGATTGATTTACTCTTTTGTTTTACTTTGCAGCTACAGTTGGATGCATTTGCTTTTCAGTCTGTCTCTGAAGTAATTCTGGCAATTGCAATAGAACATTTGGGACAAGATAAATTGTGAAAAGCTGTTTGAAGGTGTTGGAAATAGAATATTGAAAATAAATGGATCAATGTCTCCAGAGAAAACACAGTGATTCCTCTGTGGGCTGAAATCCTGCCTGTGTTGACACTGACACAATGTGTTCAAACAGTCTCGGTATTGTTATGGTTTGTCTCATATGGCTTTGTCACAGTTGATGATAATTATTGTGTAACGGGAGCAAATGCGTTTCTAACTTCAGTTGAGGGTTTAATTAAACCACTCCAGAAATGATGATTGTGATGATGGCTAATATAACTGATGAGATTGCACATAGTTGAATGTTGAAAAATGTAGTCCTGTGTTTTCATTGATTTCAAAATCGCCAAGATCAGTCATATATAGCATTTCTTTTAACAATGGTGAAAACAGATGTGTAGAGCCATCATAACAATCTGTAGCTGTAGCAGCTCTGGGAGGTGCATCAAGTTTAATGTTAGCATGCTGACATGATCATGATGACAATGCTAACATTCTTATTTTAGGTTCAACATGTTTGCCATCTTAGTTTCATATCATTTTGTCATAAACTGAATTATTGTACAATGTAACTTTTGATCAGGTGATTTAGCTAAATGTATCATTGCATCCCAAGAAAAAAGTGAATGACTAAACCAATTTCAAGGCAAATAATTAAAAGGGCTAATATGAAATCCATCCATGTCCTTTTGTGAAGACATTTTACTTAAAGACAAAAATGTAAACCTTATGGTGCCAACGACTGTCATAAAAACAAGTTGGCATTTAATGTGTTTATCAAAATAATGTTATAGTGAAAATGTTGACCTCAAAAGTTATTACATTTCAACCTCTTGAATTTAATGATTATTCTCTTTCCATTTAGTAGTTGTTGAGGGGATTCAGTGTGGAGCAGGGTTGTTGCCAACACCAGAAATAAAAAATATATATTTCCACCTCTACAAACATCCCTATCGGATGAAGCACAATATGTTTAATAATTGATTGCAAAATGTAGAATTGGGTTTAATTGGTTTTCAAATATAATTGGAATTTTAAAGTCATAAAACGCCTCTCCAATCTTCCCTTTTAGTTTTGTCCCTGAAGTGGTCATTGACTATATTTAATTAGGAAGTTCTGACGATAACGTCTTGCCTCATTCGACATCCTTTCATATAAAAGCCAAAGTGTTTGGGGAAGCAGGAGTCATTTTTGAACTTGTTTACATGATCAGGATTTGCGTATTTCTAATTAAAACATCAGACTTTTTGCATAATTTGCTATGAAGCATCAATATTCTCTTTTAGATATAGTCTTGTGAGATGTGATCATTTTTTGTTATTCTTACAGACTCCTGTGGTTTATGCTGGGTCCCTGGGAAGTGTTAGTGCGGTTCAGTGTTGAAGTGATTCATTTATATATGATATTATATGATCTAATTTTGAAGGATCTGAGCATATTTACATAGTGACTATGAGTGACCCCAGACAAAGGGTTGGAGTGTATGCATGGAGTCTTAAATCAGATCCTGTTCAGGTTGTTTCTTGAAATAAATCTTTGGGTATGTTACGCATTAAGTGCATTACGCATGTGATATCATAAGAGGCATATTACTCTTGCTGGCTGCCTGTTTCTGAACTGAAACAGTTTTTTTATTTTATGTTCCAGATATTTGACAGTCTGTTGAAAAAAGCAGCTTTGTTAAATATGTCATTTTTATGTTTGGTTTCACTATAAAACAGTTTTGGTATTATTATTATTATTATTATTATATTGCTATTGAAATTCCTATTACTGTCAAGATACCTTATTAAATGATGGTATCTAACCTCTGGACTAACTTTTTGATGTGGCTTTTGAGTTAATGAGCTCTACCATTTTCAACTTGTATTTAACCTTCCTGTTTTCCTGGGGTCATTTTTGACCCCAAAAAGGAAATCTATTGCTGTCAAAAATAGGTTTTTAATTCATCAAATGGTCTGAAAATTATAGGGGTGGTTCAATACTATCCTCTTAACGATTAAAATACATTTGAAGTAATTTCATAGAATTATGGGTGTTTTATTGTATTTTATAACACCTTAAACCTCGGGGTCAAAAATGACCTCGCAGGACAAAGTGGAGCAATGGGGCAAATTTTTTCAGCATAATGCTGAAACAACCCCCTGCCTGCTCCTCGACACACACACACACACACACACACACACACACACACACACACACACAAACACACACACACACACACACACACACACACACACACACACACACACACACACACACACACACACACACTTTTGATGTATAGGATCAAGCAATTTTTAGATCAACAAAGATCATAAACAAAAAAGATAAACGAAAAACAAACAGGCCTTTTCTCACGGTTGCTGGGGCATTTCACCTTGTAGTCCCTCCCTAGTTACGGCACACTCACACACACATACACACACACCTTTGATGTATTGGATCAATCAATTGTCGAGTCAAAATCAAACAGGCCTTTTCTCACAAATGTTGGGGCATTTCACATTTTATTCTGAGAGAGACAGGCAGCAATTTTGCTGCCTGTCTCTCTCAGAATAAAATGTGAAATGCCCCAACATTTGTGAGAAAAGGCCTGTTTGATTTTGACTCGACAATTGATTGATCCAATACATCANTGGTTTTTCAAGGCTTCAGAAACCGTTGCAGTGTTGTCGAGTGGGGTGGTGAGACGTGTGCGAGTGAGGTTCGTGTGAGACACCGCTGAGCGTAGGTGATGACGTGTTTTCAGTGGAGGGTGAGGTGCTAATATTTAGAGATTAGATATTTGATGTTTTCTTAAGCTGTAGGCCATAGATCGCGCGCCAGCCCCAATATTAAGAAATAGATAAAAGGGGGCGGGGGAGGTGGGAGAGTGAGGTGTTGCGAGTGTGAGTGTGTGAGTGAGAGTGCGAATGTATGAGATTGTGGGGGGGTGGTTGTGTTTGGTAGAGGTGGTGCGAGTGGGCAGAGATGAGAGGAGGAGGTGTTAGTGCGAGGGCAGGAGGTGAGTGGTTGCGTAGAGTGTTTGCGTGAGGGCGAGTGGCGTGTATGTGAGAAGGGAAGAAGGTGAAAGAAGAAGAGGCGGCAGAGCGAGTCGAGAGTGGCCAGGATTTGGCTCGTAGTTGGCAAAATGTGGCACACGTGACACATCCCAACCTATCGTCTCCGTATACAGTCTAGCTGAATCCCCTCTCGCAGCTGTCTGTCTGTGTATTCAGCATGATATCTGCAGGAGGCACTTGTTATATATAATACATATAATGGCACTGTTCTAGCGGTAAACACTTAAGAAAGAACATGTGAAACAATGCGCAGCGTGTTTTGGGAGTAATATGGTCTGTTTTTACATTAGCAAGCATCGCTAACACTCAGAGCTAACACTGTACTGGAGAGAATATGTGTAACGTAATGTCCTTGCAGTAGACCCTGCGAGAGAGAAACGTTTGAGCTCCATACTGTTTCAGAAATAATGCTTGAAGTGGTTTGTAACATAATGTGGCATTTAATCACGGCAGCGCTTAGCTGAGTTTCTCCCAGTAGAAAATTCTCTTAGCAGGGAAAAGCTGCGACGCTACAACGGGGCGTGGCTAGCAGCAGCTGTTCCGTTTAAAGCTACAGTCACAGAATCAGCCTTTTTGGAACAGGGCTGGAATAGAGGGGTATGAGGCATGGCTACAATGGGGGATCTGTTTGGTATTTTAAGCAAAAAACTTCACTGACATATTTTGTATAGGTTCAAATATAGCATTATAGGTCCATTTTAATTTGTATTCATGAGTTAACACAGTAAATTACATTAACCATAATAGAGTGTTTAATTGCTCTGCTGATGGAAGAGTCACTAAACCTCTCAATGGATATTTCCTGGCATTATGTGATGTGGCGTACCCTCAGAGAAGGACCTGGTGATGGGGATGATCAGGCAGGCTCTAGACGGAGTCGATCTCTCGGCCCACCCACAAAGGAGCTTCCAGCAGCTCCAGGCTTTTCATCCTGGTGCATCTCCGTGTGATCAGTCGTGGAGAAAACCTCAGAGAACGAGGTCAGGAGGATCTCAAAGGTTCTGGTGGTTATTTATTTCAAAGCTCAGCATGTTTAACATTGTTTATTCACTTCCACAGCTCATACAGAAGGAACCAAGCCTTCAGCGAGAAACCAGGTGACTACTTTCTTAGTCTTCTTAATGCATGTGTCCTGCCATATGCTTCAACATTTCTATAAAGCTGAACCACCAACTGAGTTTGTGTGTGTCCTTGCATTAAATGACAGTTCTTTCTCTACTCTGATGCAACATAGACTCAGTGACAGCCATCTTACAGGCAGGAGGTCCTGGAAGTCATCAAAGTCCTCCTTTTTCAAATGTTCCTGTTTGAAATGTGCAATTATCCTCGACTGAAATTGTCTTTTGTGTCTTCCATGATTCGTACTTCTTAGAATATTTTATTTTTTAACAGAAGACTTTTAAGTATGCTATTTATATACAATATTAAAGGAAATGCGCTTGACAATACGATAGAAAACTGTGATTTTACAGTATTGCAACGTACAGTATTTTTCTGTATTCTATACCCTTTTTCTTTTATTTCTAAAGAGAACATATGTGGTTAATGAAAATACTGGCTTTGTGTGACCCTTGACTTAAATATTATTTTCCAGAGAGGATTGGAGAAGCAGAGGTCCTTGAAGTCCACGCTGAAACTCAAAATAATCTTCAAGATCCTCCACTTGAGTACACAGAGAGTGTTTAGTTTCCTGATGTTCACTGTACTGGTAACTTAATTCTGGTTTCCTTATAATGAGTATTGATTGGTTTTTATGTTCATGGAAAAATATATAATAGGCTCTCATTTTTCATTTTTGCTTTGTTACTTGAAACCATGGACAATGTAATGAGTTCTCCAGTATTATATAATTTAATTATACAACATACTGTACAATAGGAAGGATAGTGTAACATAGGAGGATGTTTCATAATTGTATATCATCATCTGGTAATACTGAGAATAATTTTCAAGATCATCCACTTCAGAACGCAGTATAGTTTTTGTTTTCTCAATCTTTTATTGTAGTGTTCTGTATTATGGTTTCATTATTATGAGAATTGAGTGGTTAGCTTGTTTAGTGTTCTCTTGGTGAATGATGTTTTCCTTTGCGTATTTGTTTTTGTTTTGCTGATGTTTCTCAGAATGCGAGCTGCTTTATTGAGAAGTTTCAGACTTATTTTTACAAATGAATAACGAATATACTGTACGATAAGGGAGATAGTATTACATAATGCTGTAGGTTTGATTTGTTTTAATTAAATATCAGTTGTCAGGTGGATCAAGTGTAACCTGTTGAGTGTAGGGATATAAAACTTGAACGTTGATAGTAAGTATATTCCTGGCTTTAAGTGTGAAAAAAGGAACACAATACACGCATCGTTTCACCTTGGTCAGAGAAAGTCCTCTAAGTTCCTAAAATGCAACATATTTAGCACAAAATGGTGCTGTTGGCAGTTGGTGTATTAGCCAGCCTTACTAACTGCATTAAATGACCAGCAGACAAGGTTAGCTTCCCTCCTCTGTAAAGGGTTGATAACACTGATGCCCAAAGGCCTACTTATATGACTTTGAAGACAGAGTTGGCCTAAAAAACGAGTTTAACTTAAATTCATAAATATAGCATGGCCGGCCCATATCGGCATCATTCTGTATGACGAAGGTGCAATTTGCCTCTTCTCTCTCAGTCCTTTCCATTTTGGGTAAAATATTTAAAGCCTTTGCATTTGTTAAAATTTTTATATAATCTATTCAAGTATTTAAATGTTCAGTCCAAGTGCCCAGAGCCGTATTTAACAATTGGGCCTTTAAATAAGCATTCAGGACTGGAAGTGGATGTCACCAGGTGCTAAAGCCTTCAAGCACATGGCCGGATTTGGCACCACATAACCACGGGTGTGTAATTGCCATCATTCCTGGTGAAAATTGGAGTTGAGAACACAGAGTCCCTGAATTATCATGAAGTGGATCCTGTCACTCAAAACCAGAGGGTTTCATAATTTTTTGCAAATTTGATAAAAGGCGAGGCTCGAGAAAACATAAGCTTTATTTTCTTGTGTGATAGCCAAGAACACAATTATACCACTTATTTTGCCCTCTCTTACACAAAAATAGTTGTGACAGTGTGGTTGACTAAACAACACAAGGGGGGACCGCTAAAGCTCTGTGGGAGCGTGGGTCTGTCAGAGGGACGGGTAAACCCAGCCCTACGATGTTGTTTATAGCAGAACCAAATGATTAACATAGCACTCCTGTTGGCAAATCAATTTATCACTTAATCAATCTAGAAAAGCTCACGGTAAAGTATCCTGTAGTTGTTTCGATATTTGACAACAAAGTGTCGAACAACTGACTGTCCTCAATTCAAATAATGTCGTCTGAGCAGCATTACTTTTCCCTCAAAACAATGTCCTCCCGATTACTATGCACCTTGTGCCCTCTGGGGTCAAAAATGACCCCATCTGGCTTCTCTGATATTTAACGCATAAAGTATAAAATGTGAATAAATGTTGTGTTACACCTTTAGTTCTACTTCAGTACAACCCATTACCACACATTTCTCCCTCAGTTTTGGAGTTTAGTGCCGATAGACCCTTATTTATATGAAATTATACCATTTTCTGATTTAAAAAAAAAGTGAAACAATGAATTAATTTGACCATATTGTATTGTGACTATTTGTCTTATCAGAGACTGGTATATGTCAAAGTCTAGTAAGGATGCCCTTTTTGAATAATTTATATATTTTTAATGACAACACATAATCACACCTTGTGCCCTCTGGGGTCATTTTTGACCCCGTCTTGCTTGACTCTTATTTCAAGCATAAAGTATGAAATGTCAATCCATTTTGTGTTACACCTTTAGTTTTGCTTCAGTCCAACTCAATACCACAAATTGTTCCCTTTGTTTTGGAATTTAGGGCCAAAATACTTAATAATTTGAACATATCGTATTGTGACTATTTGTCTTATCAGAGACTGGTATATGTCAAAGTTTAGTAAGGATGCCCTTTTTGAATAATTTATATTTTTTTAATGACAACACATAATCACACCTTGTGCCCTTTGGGGTCATTTTTGACCCTGTCTTGCTTGACTATTATTTCAAGAATTTAAAGTGGAAACCTCACGCATTTCTGTGTTACACATTTAATGTGCCCTCAGTTGCATGCCGGGCAGGTAACAATGGTGTGATCTTTGCAGATGTATGCATTGCATCTTTGGCACATTTTCTTGGTTTTCACATCAATCTGGCGAGGGCAGAATTTGCATCTGCTCCTTTTGGGTGATGGGTCAGGAGGGGGAGCTGGGCGAGCGGGAGCTGGGCGAGCGGGAGCTGGGTGACGGGTAGCTGCTGCAGAGGTAGAGCTGGAGCAGAACTGCTGGACCTCCATAACCAAACTGGCAGCGGCTGGCGTGCGGGGAAGAACCTGTCAAGTCAAGTCAAACTTTATTATAATAAATCACAGTGCAAATACAAAAAGTACAAATTGTGAGGACACTACAGAAGGAAGAGCAACAGAAATGAAGCTTAATGCTGACCTTGCGTCGCTGGATGTGAGGTATCACAAGTTGTCGTCCAAGCTCCTCCATGAACAGCCTCCTCTTGTTGCACTTCCCCTGATTCCAGGCTGGGTTGATCTCAGACCACAGGACAAAGGAATTGTATGCAGACACGTCGAGAATATTGAAGAAGACAACTAGGGGCCAACGGGCTGTCATTCTTTTGCACGTGTAAACACTGGTAACCTTGAAACAAAATAAACAAACCAAAACATATTCAGAAATGTATGTTTATTTCCTACACACAAATTCAATGCATTATCCTTTCCATAAATAATATTATTAACATTATGAATAATAAATATGAAATACCTTGTCAAGGTTATCGACACCCCCTTTGTTGTGATTGTAATCTTCGATGATTTTGGGCTTTTTGTCATCCCTGTCGCTCACAGCTGCATCCCGATGCAGAGTGCTCATCAGAAGAACATTTCTCTGTTTTTTGGGGAGATAGGACACCAGAGCATGGGTCTCGGTGAAAGCAAACTTCGATGAGAAACGAGCCCTGTCCGCTTTTGACACCAGTGCAGGGGGAAGCTCAGGTTTATTTCTCCTTACAGTTCCCACCATGAACAGCTTTCTTTTCAGCAGCGCCAGGCCAAGGGCATGTGAAGTAAATAAGTTGTCACAGGTTATCGTTTTTCCCTGGAGGCCTTCTGTCATGTCAAGGACAACTTACATGCCCTGATTTTTTTCTGACATCCCACCAGCAGGTTTGCAAGTGTATATCTGCATATTCCATGCGTAGCTTGACCTGGCATCGCATGCTGCCCATATTTTTATCCCATATTTCCCTGGTTTGCTTGGGATATACTGTTTGAATGGACAGCGACCTCTGAATGGGACCAGGCGCTCATCGACAGTCACATTAGTGCCTGGATTCCTTGGAGGCCCGGGCCGGCCATATGCCCTGGCGATCTGGTAAACCGCCAGGAGCTGGCCTTAAATATTTGTTTCACGGGACCAACAACCCACCCCGGGTTAACACCTGTATAAAGTACGGGTTTTAGGGTGACCGCCCGCGGGACCGATAGGGGAACCTCACTTTACTCAGGAAAACCTATGACCCCTGCAAAAACCAAAAATAAGAGTAGATTTATGTTTCCCCGTACTATCGAGTATAATACTCTAAAGTTTTCCAGAAATAAAACTTGAGATGTAGGTCCTAACCAGAACTAAGAGGGACTCACTGATCTCTACCCACAGGACGGATGTGAGGACCACTCACTGGGTAGCGCCAGAAACCTTGACCTGTCAAACCGAATTAAGAGTACATTTATGTTTCCCTACTAATAGAGTGTATACAACTCTAAAGTGTCCAGAAAAATAAGACTTGAGATGTCGGTCTAACAGAAACCTAAGTGACTCACTGATCTCTACTCCAAGTACCGAATAAGTGGGACCTCACTTTTAAGTTGGCAGGATCCTAAGTCACAGTCTGGTTCCCAATGAAACAAAGATAAGCAGTAGCATATTAATGGCCTCCCTACTAGCGAGTATATACATCGTGAAGTGTGTTTCAAGAAAAATAAAACTTTGAGATGTGTCTTACTAGGACTAACATAGACTCACTGATCTACCTTCTTCACAGGACGATAGTGCGCGATACTCTTCACCTTACTTAGGTGAATACTAATCACTGGGTCAAAACTACTTCATAAGAGTAGATTTATGTCTCCTTTTATCCTAGAACAAGAGGTATAACTGCCTCCGTCACAAAGGTCGTGATGGCTTTACGCTCTCTCTATACGGCGCGTTGGCGGTTCTAGAGCATAACTCCTGGACTCGCGAAATAATCGACAAAGACGGTTCCGGTAGCTTCCGTCACGACTGGCACTCATTGTTCTCCCCGTGCGCACAAATACCCTTTTTAACTCTTTCTTACCTAGTTTACCCTGGACGTCTGTATGCACCAAACAACCAAGTCCGACCTCATGCACATGGCTAGGCGTTTCTCCGGATGTCGGTCAGATACCTTACTCATCAGACCATCCCCGTTAAAAGCGCTACGATGGGTACTGTGAATTTTTACAAAAGTATTTTAGACGGTCTCAGTATTCTAACTACTGTTCTGTGTTCTTTTCTAGCGGACCCGGTGCCCTGTTTGAACCGAGGAATAGCTTGCTGCAAACCCTGTGCACCCACAGAAGGGGAC